GAGAGAGAGAGAAAGAGAGAGAAGTTATGTTAGGGTGCTCACACTACAGAGTAATTTATCAATGTACTTAACAAATTTGGACACTTGTATACCCTTGTTTTGTACATGGAGCATTTTTTTAACAAGGGTATTTTTAGTCATTAGGAGGGGTGTGATGTCATCCACATGGGGTATGACGTCACCCATATGAAGCACCCTAGTGGCATTTAATGCTCCATGTGGTTGATATCACACCTCATGTTGATGATGTCACAACCCTCCTAATTACCAAAAATACCTTTACTAAAAAAAATCTCCATGTACAAAACAATGATATATAAGCGTCCAAATTTGTTGAGTACATTGATAAATTACTCCATAGTGTGAGTACCCTAACATAATCCTATATATATGGATACGGATAAAGCTGATAATAAGCCTTGAGCTAAATTGAATGATAGTTCCCCTCTGTCAGATCTGTGATCGGATGGTGAAAATACATGTTACTACTTGAATTTCTACAAATTGAATCAAAATGAAATTTTGCAGATGCGTACTACATAATATGGCACGCAATAAACATATAAAACAAATATTTTATAAAAATATAAAGTGACCAAACAACCCCTATAAAATGATGGGGGCAATTTGCTCATTTTAAAATTTTGAAAATATTTCTTTTATATTTTTATTTTGTGTGCGATGGTCTCAAGTATATACACCTTAAATTTCAGACTAAATCAATTCATTAAAAACAAATTAAAATTTAAATAGCGACATGTATTTTAAAGCATCCAATCAAGATCTGATGGCTAGGGGTATGACCTACCACTCATTTTAGGTCAAGACCTATTGTCAGCTTTATCTCACACACACACACACATAGAGGAACACACATATATACCATATTTTCAAAATCCAACTTTCTCACCTTCAATGTTGGCAAGACAAAAAGTGGGAGGTCATAGAAGCCAATTACCTTAAAAAAGGAGACCTGAAATGGCAATTATTTGCTTTTTAGGAGCCTCAATTGCCTGTGTTCTAATTGTATATAAAATGACTGAGCAACTATAGATATATAACTCATCAGGTTCAGTGTTGTTGCCTCACTACTTAAAGAGGCTTCAAAAGGATTCTCACTTCAATTTACATATTACAAATAATAAACAGCTCTGAATTATCCGAAAAAAGAAGGAAAAAAATGACGATCAAAATATATTAAGTCATTAACAACTCCATCAGCAAAAGATAACTTTATCTTTGAAGCATATCTGCAAAAGAAATCCAAGCAAATATGATTTAAACCAAAAGCACAACAATTGAAGTAGAAGAAATACCATTATGTTAAATAGCCCGTAGTTGAGGGCCTCATTGTGTTCCTTTTTGCTCTTGAAGTAATGAATCAATGTCAAAACAGAAAAGTAATGGAGCAGCACATAAAAGAATTGAGGATTCTCTCCATATATTAGAATAACATAAGGACTTGTATAATAATTGTTGCAACATAAAACATACGAAGTATGCAAAATTTTCTGTATTACCAGTGTGCATATCCATATTGTCTCAGACACTGATTCATATGACCCAACTCTATCATATGAACTGAAAGAATTCCCAACACACTATTTATATTTTTCTATTGTGGGTGATTTCCATCTCCAACAACAAACATATGGACGGTATTCTCTAATTGAATCCAGCTGCACCTAGCAACTTTCTTAATATCCTTCACTGCCATTTTCTTCCTTACAAAACCCACATCCCGCCACCGACCAGCTGCGGCATAGATATTTGCTAGGCATATATACTGGTTCTCTGGCATAAGCTCCATTAACTCATTTGCTACCCTTTCAGCAACCCTAATGTTTCCCTGAATTCTACAAGCCCCAAGTGAAGCACCCCAAACTGAATCACCAGGCTTCACATCCATCTCTCTAATGAATCTCAAAGCTTCAACTAGTAACCCAGCTCTACCAAAAAGGTCTACCATGCAACTATAGTGCTCTTCTGTAGAAGTGATCTTATATTTTTTTGTCATCATTCTAAAGTAAGCTAAGCCTTCCTCCACAAGGCCTCCATGGCTGCAACCAGAGAGCACCCCCACAAAGGTGGTTGTGTTGGGGTCCACTCCTCACCTTTTCATTCTCTCAAAAAACTCAGTTGCTTCTTTCCCATAACCATGCTGGGCGAATCCAGCATATCATAGCATTCCATGACGCTAAGTCTGGTTCTTTTTCCTCCAAAAATACATCACGTGCACTAAGAATATCACCACACTTCCCATACATGTCAATGAGTGCATTAGTCGCTAATACATCCAATTCTAGCCCTCCTTTGAGAATATCACCATGTCCTTGCTTCCAGGGTTCTAGAGCCACAGCCATAGAACAAGCTCTGAGTATAGCTGATGCAGTATACTCATCCCCCTTAATTCCTATTAGCCTCATCTTAAGAAAGAGATCCAATGCATCCACGGCATCGCCATGACATACATATCCAACAATCATGGCAGTCCACGAGACCACATTTTTCTCAGGCATCAAAGAAAATAATCTCTTGGCTTCATTTAGACTAGATCATTTCAAATAAAGGTTAATAATGGCACATCCCACTATTAAATCGGATTCAAACCCAGTTTTCAGAGCTAACCCATGAAGTTGGGTCCCCGGTTTCAAATGATGGACCGAAGTACTGGTTGATCAGGTCGATGAACCTCTCGAACCATCCTTGTCAAAAGCTCCAACCCCTTTAGATTATCACCGTCCCTAGTATAGCCAGCAACAACACTAGTCCAGGAAACAATACTCCTCTCAGGCATTACATCCAAGAATTTCTTAGCATCTTCCATGCAAAACCACTTAACATACATATCAATCACTATATTGCCCACAAAAACGGAAAACCCAATTACAAATTTGATCGAAACAGCATGAAATAGCCGACCCAAGATCAGAGACATGGTCCCTACGCAAGCATGACTGACAATGCATATTGATCAGTAGCAAAACCCAACTTCCTCATTTCATCAAACAACCTGAGATACTCAAAGAAATACCCATTTTGAAACATAACCAGAGATCATAACAGTCCAAGTAGCAATAATTCTTTCAAGCATTCTATCAAATACTTTTTGGGAAAGGGTTAGATCACCACATTTAGAGTAGAAAAGTATCAAATTATCGTTCAAAACAATGGAGTTTTCAATGTCAGATAAAATAAGTAGTCCATGGACTTGCTTGCCACATTTTATATTTCCGAAATATAGGCATTTTCTAATCATATGGGAGAAACGCTGGGGACTTGAAGAGGCCTCTCTAAGGCCTATTATGGCGGGGTGTATGCAAAAAGTATTCTGAATATTTTTCTTCCCATTTTCGAATGTTTGAAGGGGGATTTCATCGAGGACTTCAATGGCTGTCCTGGAAAACCAATTGGAAAAAGATTGGACCTTTCTTTGTGGGTTTTTAGAGAGACTATAAACAGTTTTCCTCAAACAATTAATGGTGAGAAATTCGAATTTTTATTTGTCTTTCAGAGAGAGAGAAAAGACTGAATCTTTTCTTAAAAAAATTGGACCTATAGGTTTTGTGTAGAGAGAGAGTTATTTTTCTTGAAACAATTATTGGGGATGGAAAAAATGAACCTTTTTGCTGCCGCTGAAACCTTGGGCTTAAATGGGTTATTTAGACAAAAAATTTATTAAAAGAAAAACCAACAGGAATGAAAAATTTATGTTTTGAAGAGCTTTCCTAAAAGTCTAAAACAAAAATGGCTAAGAAAATTAAATGCCATTTTAAGGGTGCGGTTTGTATAAAGCCGAGGCTCTAAACAATCAAAGTAGAGCGCACTTTCAAATGGTATCGATAAATATAGTTTTAATACTGGAAATCTTTGTGATAGCCTTAAAATATATTTTCATCTCTAATTATAAAATTTAAACCTTAAAAAAATACTATAGATCGAGCATATCTATGAAAACTTGAAAACCTTGAAAATTGACTGTCCAAAATTTTACTCACATATACACTATTTTCAAAACTTAAAATTCATTTTGTTCCCATGCCCATGCTTCTTATGTCGAGATGATCAATTTGAGGATATTTGGGCATCAAAACAACCACTTCTTGTGGAATTTTTTAAGTGTACTGTAATTGGATTGTCTAGAGCCTCGGCTCTATATAAACTTGTTCTTTTTTTTAATACATAAAATGTATGAATGTTTTTTTTCTTTTTTCTTTCGATGAATGTTTTTTTTCTTTTTTCTTTCGGAGAGAGATCACGAATGTGGTGCTCTCTCTCTCGAGGAATCATTGATAGGATTTTTAAAGTTTTATCTGAAGCCATCATCATCATTGTTGGAGCTTTTTTTGGATTATTTGGGGGCGGATATATTAATTTTCGTCAGCCATTATGCTAAATCAAGAGTCATAATCTCAGCTGAGGCCATAAGTGACTAAAAACTGAAACCTTTTTAGTTAGGCATTTAGTGGGTTCTTTGGACATAAAAAAAACAAAAAAGCCTTACAAGAAAGCAACAATGGATGATTTGATAGCGCAATTTGGGTACTCTTGTTGTTCATAACAGCCGCAGACAAAGCAAGAATCCAAAAAAGGAGAAACCCTAAGCGCTAAATCAATGCTTATTCAATATGTGATAATTTCTACTTGTTTGTGCTGATTTTCAGCAATATGGTTATAAGAAATTACCTTAAAAATGAAAGAAAGGATCCTCACAACTCCAATGGACGGCTGGGATCCAAAATTTGTAGCTCTATCACCACATTTTACTTTTTCTATCTTTTGCCTAGTTTATTACATAAATAATTTTAATTTAAGAAACGTTCTCAATATTTCGTATTTTACATCTGTATCTCACATTTTCAAAGAGCAGGTAAATAAAATATAGTTTTAGTGTTATTTTTAGAGAATTAAGTTTCAATTTTGGATGTCCATATTTCTTACCATTATGTACTTATAACAAAAATAAATAAATAAATAAAATGACTCAAATAAACTTAAAGTTTGTATTGATATTTGTATCATTTATTTTTATTTGATTATTTTTTAATTTTTTAATAGATACATGAAAATATGAAATATAGACACAAAATTTGAACCCAACCAATATAAAATTGAAATACTAAACGTGTTCTTAAAAAGTGGAACATATACATAACATATAAAATATTGAGATACTTTTAAATTATATTACATATAAAGAATATTTTCATAAATTTTCCTTTAATTATTGAATTTTTTTTAATCATCCCGATGGAGGTACTTGTGCTTTTTTTATTTAAGGAAATTTGCAATTTCTTTTTATGTTTGAAAAAGGTTCTATTTAAGCTCAAGTGTTATTTTTCCATTTTTCTATTCGCAAACTACCCCACATTGTACATCCTATCTCTAAACCAAGGCTTAATAGTGAAAGACCCATTTAGACATCCAATTCTGCACAAAATAATTGATTGGCCTTTTTTTTTTATGTTTTTTTTTTTGGGTAATTTAGTGGGAAAGAATGGCCCCTACCAATTCCTTAAAAAGAAAAAGTTCATATAGAGTCGAGGCTCTAAACAATCAAATTAGAGCATACCTCAAAAATTTCATTAGAAGAGGTTGTTTTGATGTCCAAATATCCTGAAATTGATCATCTCGACATCGAGATGCATGGACATGAGAAAAAAATGGATTTCAAGTTTTGGAAATAGTGTGTTTTATAAGGTATATTTGGACAGTCAATTTTCAAGATTTTCATAGATCTGTCGATCTACACTATTTTTTAACCTTTAAACTTTATAAATAAAGATGAAAATATATTTTAACGCTATCACAAAGCTTTCTAGCACTGAAACCACATTTCTTAACACTATTTGAAGGTAGGTTGTAATTTGATTGTTTAGAGCCTTCGCTCTATGCAAACCACACCCTTCTTTAAAATAGTCTAGGATTTAGTTTTTTTTTATATATATTAACAGTAGAAAATGTAGAGGTATAACCACCTGTGCCCCAACTACATTCCCATTTGAATTAATATTTCACTCAAAATAAAATGATTATGGATGTCAAGATAGGCCCATTAACTGAATGAAACGAATAAATGATAAAAAGATAGGAAAGGGTAGAAGACCTAGGTGTTCAAGACAGGACGCATCAAGGTGATATGATGCTTTGAATTTTCATGCCTCCCATACTGATTGATGTGTTACCTCTTTATTTTTTTAGTTAAATATCTAGTGGCAGTCCCATTTGATTGATTCTTATGCCTCCCAAAGAATCGAGATTGAGCTTAAGTGATTAGTATTTGATGATTAGCATCATTGCATCTCACCAAGAAAACACAGAAATTCCCAATTCATGCCCAACTTTTCAAGGGCTGCCCGCCCAACTATACAGAGAGAGAGGTGAGATCGTTATTGATATTGATAAGCTTCTTAAGTTGGTTGGAATACTCATTTAAGTTTAAATAGATTAGGACTATTGGTTATATATTAAGTTGATATACATGTAATACTAATGAAATTTACTAGAGAGAGAGGTGAGATCGATATTGATATTGTGATATGCTTCTTAAGTTTGTTGGAATACTCATTTAAGTTTAAATAGATCAGGAGTGTTGGTTATATATTAAGTTTGATATACATGTAATACTAATGAAATTTATATATGGCATAGGATTCATATTGAATGACAAAAAAAAAATGTGTGTTCAATTTGGGTCACCTTGTGAGAAAGGTAGACTATCTGCTAGAGACAGGTAGAGGCCTCTAGACAGAAGTAAGCTTCTAGTGAGAGAAATGATACGTTCATACTTATTACACTTTGTGGAGACAAAAGTCGGTTTCTCGTTCCTCTCACATCTCTATCTTACGTGTTTAGTAATAACTGTTAGAAGTAAAGAGAATGAAAAACAATATATAATGTTAGCTAGGGGAGTAGTTTTGTAGGCACCCCAATCCCAATCAAAAGAATTGTGGGAAACCGAGGCGCCTTGGAACAGCCAACAAAACCCCTAAAACCAACCAAAGTCCCAAAACCAATACCCTAATGCCTAGACTGACCTGTTTGGTCCACCACAAAGACTTGTGCCCTGAACTCGGAACTCTGGAAGACCCCAATAAACTCAGGATGGCCCCAAGACAAGAGAAAATCTAGAGCAGATCACTTGAAATGGAAGGAAAACTAGTTTGTGATCACACGACACTACCAGTAGCACCAACTCTAGTGGTAGCTTTGTTATAACTCCGGGGACACCAGCATTCAAAGGATGGTGACCCAAATTACATACTAACATTAAATGTGAAAAGCCATCATTTACCTTAAATGAGGGAATCAATATCGTTGACACATGTACTAGTAACATTGTTTCATGATTGGCTTAAAAAATGTTGCCAATCGTACGACATTGGAATGCGCAAATCAAACAAAAAAATAAACATCATTTCATCAATGCCAATGTCACCATTGTTGAATGAGGGCGTCAGTGACAGCTGCCGCTGATTGGCCAGAATCACCGCCCATTGTTAGACTTCAATATGGCCTTAATTGCTTCAATGATGGTATCGATATCGTCAACTAAAGGGATACTAGTGTTGTGGCCAGTTTTGAACAGCAGATGCCGGTGGTGATGCCAAATCTAACATGTCATTGCCCACAATCACATCGATCGTAAACCGAAGGGTTTGAACAGCAGATGCCAGTGGTGATGCCAAATCTAACATGTCATTGCCCACAATCACATCGATCGTAAACCGAAGGGTTGCATCTTACGCAACCCGCAGTCATGACATATCAACAAGATTGATAGTAGTGTTGACAAGACCACCAATGGCTTTTAGCATCGAACGGTTCAAATTTGATCCTAGATTTTGGAAGGTGATTAAAGTGGACAAATATTTATATATAGGGGTTGAGCCCCCTCATTTTATAAATAGGGGGTTGAACCCCCTCATTTTATGGATCGAATTATGAATTTTATACCCAAATGTTGCCGCACTAGAACCAGACTTTGCCAAACCCCGCACTAACCCTAGACATGTATGTTCATAACTTAACCTAGCACGCCTAAACACCTAAACCTTGCATTTCACAAACTCCTCAAGTTCATTAGCCTTCTATTGCCTCGCTCGACAGACCCTGAAGGACTCAGTGAATGTCGTGCAGGTATACTGATCCTGAATCGGCTTAAGGTACGCTTCCATTTTCTTTACTTTATTACATTCTCGTCTATTTATAAAAACCCTTTTGCAATTCCTTCCCCTCGTCTTGGTACCCTGATTTTAGAACTTTCTTGTGAATTTCTAGTTTTGTGGTGTTGGCTTCATAAAAACCCTTTTGCAATTCCTTCCCCTCGTCTTGGTACCCTGATTTTAGAACTTTCTTGTGAATTGCTAGTTTTGTGGTGTTGGAAGCCAGCACTACTGGCAATCCGAGAGAGGGCGGTCTTATGGCCAGTCTCTTATCCGAGTCGTAATTTAATAAGACCCATACTCTATTGAACCCTTTTTTGACGAGTTTGCGCCTGAAAACGAGGTGGGGACTCCAATCTCTAACGAAATTTTCAAGTATAAATAAGTTTCAAGGGTAGTTTGACTGGGTATTATAGATGGTTAGTAAGATATCTTTTGTATTTCAAAATATTTGATGTAACTCTCATGAATATAATAGATTTCAGATTGACATGGCTGTGGATGTAGTAGCTCTTTGGTGTGACTTAATCTTTATATTCATGTGGTCCGTATATTTTATGCTTTATTTATCGTATTATGGTTTGTACTCTCACCTATTTTTTATTCTAGCCTGTTAAGTAAACAATCTTGGTGAAGTCCAACTTTCAAATTCCTGTTTCCATGTCTAAGAGGGCTCTTAAGCCCTAATAGTAAAATCATTTAAGTAAAACAAAAATGCATCTAAAGCGACTTAGGATGCATTTAAAACAAGGTTTAAATACTTGGCTTGGGTTTAGGACTAGGCCAGGCCAAATAAAATATATAGAAAAGGGGGTCAGGCCGGGAAAGCCAAACCAGCCCAGCCTTGGCCGGGGCCCAGCCCTACCCTTGAGCCATGGTTGCCAGCCTCTAGCCCAGCCCTTGAATCACATGTTGTGGCCCATGCCCTAATTTTTTAGGGCCGGACTAACCCATCCCATTGCCACCTATAACAGGGAGAAGGAATTTCTGCCCCTTTCAGATAGAGAGAGGGAGATTGTCGATAGGAGGGCTGATTTATGTGCTATTTTTTGGGAGAGAGAGACAAAAGAAAGGGGCAAGACCCCTATTTTTTGATTTTTTTATATCACTAACAATACTTGGGCCAAAAGCGCAACTCGTCCGAGTACTATATAAACCGATGAGTCAGCCCGAGTTCTATAGTACTAGGGTGAATCAGCCAGATTTCAACAGTACCCGAGCAAGTCATTGTAGTACTCACTAGAGTACCTGTACATGTTCCCATGTACCTCAGTAAGTAAATGAAAGCTTGATTAGTCTATAAACGGAAGCCGCGTCAGTCAAACGAGTCTGAGTCGATTCGGGCGAGTTTTGTTATCTGGTTTCTATCCTAAATCCATCTCCAAGATGGTTTTTGAAATATCTAAACTGATTTAAACTCTCTCAAAGATAAATTGATAAATAACAGTATATTGTGGGAGTAGGGGAGAAAGAGAGATGCCCGTCTCTCCTGGTTTTGGATGCTGAGAGAGTGAGAGTGTGCATGCAGAGGACAAATTTCCAAGTTTTCCCCCTTTTTCTCTTTCTATTTTCATGGTAAAAGTTTACCGAAGGCCAAAATTCCTCTTGTTCTCTCAAGAGAAGAACATGGTTCCATAAGTCAAGAAATAAAATAAAATAAAATGGAAACATGAATTTGGAAGGTTTCTCTCAAAAACCTCATGAAGCTCACTCTGTCCATTTGACATCCATTGTGATGATGAATTCATTGAATCACACAAATGCAAGAGTTCCTCACTCCACCAAATTCTCCATCTTCCCACACTCTGTAGAACAAAACCCAAAAAAAAATAAAAAAAAATAAAAATTTTTTTTTAAAAAAATACACAGAACAACAACAATATATCAATACTAAAACCAGAAGAAGCCTTTAAAGAATCACAAGATGAATTTAATGATCAACAGTATAAGAGAGAGAGAGAGGGAGAGAGCATACCCTGAATCAAACTCTTGGACATGGGTGAGATCCTTTCCATGAGCATCAGGCCAGTTCACCTTCCTCTTCCCATGTGCTTCTCCTCCCATAACCACCTTCTCTCTCTTCAAGTTACTCTTGAGAGGGGGCTCCATACAAGCCTTTTGCTCTTGCACCTCACCATCAACAACATTAGCACCACCTCCCTCAGTGTTCTGATCATTTGATGTGGGTTCACAAATGACCCCATTCTTATTATTATTGTTGATGATGTTGTTGTTGTTGCTATGGGCCCTTGAAGGAGCATAGCAAGAGCATATGAAAGAAGAGGAGCACTTCTTTTGTGACGCCAGGTGATCAAAGTAGGCGGCCCCGGTCCAAAAACCGGTGGCCTATTCCCATAATCCGATGTCGAAAGCCCCTACGGTGGTGAATTCCGGCGATTTGAATGATCACTCGGACTAACCCACATCAAACCTTATCCTATGGGGACCTGAAATGGCTCTAGAACTCTCCTAACACTTATACAGCTCTAGTATGTGCTCTCTCTCTCTCAAGATGGAACTGCAACTTCCAACACTTGAAAATAAGTGATAACAGACTCTCTCTCTCTCAAATGGAGCTCCAACTTCCACCACTTGAAATGAGGGTTAACAGTTTCTCTCTCTCTCTCTCTAAACACCACTGTAAATGGGCAGAATTTGAGTTTTAACACAATCCATCTCTCTCTCTCTGTCTCTAAACACCACTGTAACTGGGCAGAATTTGAGTTTTAACACAATCCATGTCTCTCTCTCAATCTCTATCTCTTTCTCTCTCTACAAAAAGTCTAGGTTTGGAAGATGAGAGAGAAAGTAAAGGAGGTATGTTTGTTTGGTGAAAATGATTGCCATTGCTTCACAGGGGCATGTGTGGTAGAGAAAACCGTGATTGTGCAGCCCATAATTATGATGCCTTTGGGAATTTGTCTTATCCCACATGATGAGGTGAAAGGGGAATAATGGTTGATTTCCTCATCTTTAACTTTTTATGGATAGTGAGGGTGAAAGGGGTGGAATACAAGCCTATTCTCCTTTTTTACTTTTTCCACTAGTGGGTGGCTCTTATTTGGTGACAGCTATGAGAGAGAGAGAGATGCCATTGAATATATATATATATATATATATATATATATATATTAAATAAATAAAATAATAATAATAATAGAGAGCCCCAACTAGAGAGAGAGGGGGGTGCATTGCGGTTGTGTAGCGGTGGGCATTGATCGGATCCGGATGATAAGAAAGGTTTTAGATCTTATTCGGATTTGGGTATGGACCTAAAATTTGGATCGATTCAGAGGTTTGAATTGCATATTAAATAGCATTACCTAGAGTAAATTTTCTTTTATATATTAAATGTCATTACATGGAGTAATCTAGATCTAGATCTGGATCCGGATCCGGATCAGGATCTAATATATACTATTCGGATCTAGATCCGGATTCAAATATCCAGGATCCATTTTGGACTCGGATCTTACCGAAATCTGATGTATTATATTTGGATCTAAATACAGATCTAGTCGAATCCGGCCCCAATCCGATCTGTTCTCACCCCTAGTTGAGAGGACCACATTTCATATCGAAAAATATTCGGTGGTCTGCTGAACCACATTCTCTCCCTAAAAAATGGCCACAACTCAAAGGAATTCCTCCTCTGAATTTTTTTTTTTAAAAAATTATTACGTATATTTGGTATGCATTATTGAAAAATATTTTTACGTGAAAAAACTCCCTCATGTAATTAGGTGTAAGGGTACTTTCACATCAACTGACTGCCAATTGATGTGACAAAATGTATTGGGACCAATTGATGTAAAAATACTCTCACATCTAAACACATAAAGAAGTTTTTTCATATGAAGTATTTTCACGTATACCAAATATGCCCTTATATTAATTTTTCTCTTCCCTTGGATTAAACTAAGAGAAAAGCTATTTAAGTTCCTTGAATAGGAAAATCCCAACCTTGATTTTCGAAAAGGCAAATCCTATCCAAGTTCCTTGAATAGGAAAATCCTAACCTTGATTTTCGAATAGGAAAATCTCCTAACCTTGATTTTCGAATAGGAAAATCTCCTAACCTTGATTTTCGAAAAGGAAAATCCTATCCAAGTTCCTTGAAGGTGCGTGCTACTCCACTTTAAAACATCAAATAACGAGGGCTTTACTTGAATCAGGTCGGATCGGGCCAAAAAGGTATTTATTATTAATAACTATATCTATACGACATTATTAAACAAGAGTTCAGGGTGGACACATGTCACAAAAATATAAAAGATCTGCAATTGTATAGAGGTTGTAGGACACATTCTCCAGCTCTAAGGGTAGAGAGAAAAATATATTTTAGGAGAGATTTTGATAAGGATATAGAGTATAGAAGAAGGGGAAGAGAGAAGAGAGAAGATTTTAGAAAATCAAGATTTTAGTAAGATTTATTTGAGAGAATATGCACAAGAGAGAGATAATGAGAGATTTTAAAAGAGATTTTGAGAAGCAGATAAAGAGTATACATGCAAGAGAGAATAAGCACTTATCCCCAACTCAAATTCAAGACATATATATATATATATATATATATATATATATAAGTCTGTTTCTATATCCAAGAGGATTCCCCATCCAAGCATGATAACCGCTCTCAATGGATGCACGCCTCATTTTTTTTTCCCTTATTTTTTGGTTCAAACTTTCTAAAATTGCTACCTATCCCTAACTCAAATTCAATTTTTTTTCCCATATTTTTTGGTTCAAACTTTCTAAAATTGCTACCTATCCCCAACTCAAATTCAATAGAGAGATTTTAAGAGATATTTTGAGAATAAGAGAGAGAAACTACGTGCAAGAGAGAGGAAGGGGAAGAGACAAGATTTTTAAAAATTAAGATTTTAGTAGGATTTATTTGAGAGAATATGCGCAAAAGAGTGATATAATAAGAAAATTTAGGAGAGATTTTGAAAATGAGAGAGAGTATGTGCAAGAGAGTACATGCAAGAGATATTTTAGGATCGATTTTGAGAAGGAGAGAGAGAGTACGAGTAAGAGTCTCACACTAAGTTAAGACTTTTATTCTAATTAGGTTTAGAAATCTGTCTCTCAACCTCTCAAAATAGTTTCATGTGCCCCTCTCAACTTCTCAACAAGGTGTGCTTCGTTTTTCTCTCTGCTTATGCATGAGTTTCATAAATTTATTGATTTATGGTTTTTAGTTTGTTATTTAAATTAAAGAGGTTATGGGTTTTTTGTTTTTTAATCAATGTTTAGGCTATTTGAAGGGAGAAGTTGAGTTAAGTATATGTTAGGAATTGTTATGGTTATTGTTTTTTTGAGGGCTTTGCCGCATAGAAACCGAGTCCCACATTAATAGAAGCTTAGTAGCCATTGTTGTTGTCCTTTTTTTTTTTTTTTCGAGATTGTAAACCATCAGGCGAAGCTTTTGGCACTGAAATTTGGAGGGTCAAAATTTCATCCTATTGAAATTCACCTTGGGCAACTGGTTGTTGGTTCCTTGCTTAGTGTAAACCTCTCTCCCACCATAGCCATTATATCAAACAACAAACTCTACAATTTAAGGCTAAAAACCCAAGAATTGGAAGAAAGTTCTATGAGAAATTACCCCCAAAAAGCAGTGAGTTTCATAAAAATTTGGTGGGCAATGGTGAGACTATGAGAGATTTTCTACGTGGAGTGAAATGCAGTGCTCATTCGAAAATGGAGACGGAGACGGGCTTTGGGAAAGAAACAGGTTTTGAAGGATGAAAAAGTTTTGTCAACTTTCCCTCTCAAATATAGTTGAGCATCTACTCTTAGTTTTCCATTGCAGGAACAAATGAAGCTCAACACAAAATGCGCAGAATAATGGTTTCCAAGTTTATCAGGCAAGGGCTTGAGATGGCATCCCCCGTCTCTAAATTCTTAAGTATTATTAGGAAGAAGCTTGAAATTATCAAAAGAAGCACATGTTGGGTGTGTGTGGCCATTTAAAGTCTTATAGATGCTCATAAAAGAATTATACAGTGGAACATAAACTCAGTGGTCTTATTACAAACAATAAAAATTCTAAAAATAAATAACACAAAATCCCAACTACTTGATGCCATTCATACAACCTAATACCGTGCTTAAGAATATAAAATAAAAGAACAAACAAATAAAAGAAAAGATGCCAGAGGTTACCTCAACCGAGCTTTTTACACCCCACATTGAGTCACCACATCTAATGGCACGGGATACGTGGTCTAGCTTCAATCTTGAACCACGATAGCTGATTTTGGTCAAACTATGTAACTATCCTTAAAATCTCTACTAAACCTTAACCCCCAAAACTAACTTACGCTTCCTTCTAATTTTTTCAACCCTTAGTTTCTTCTTAGGTCTAGAGAGGAGAGAGAAAGTACTACCTAGGGTTTTGGAGATAGGAAGTTAGAGAGAGAAATATGGAGGAGAGAGAGTGAGGAGAGTGGGGTGTTCCCCTCTAGGAGAGAGAGATGTGTGAGAGAGAGAAGAAAGAGAGGTTGTGTTTGTAGAGATTGGGGGAGAGCACCCCTATTTATAGTAGATATTTAGGTTTAGGGTTTCTTAGGGTTTTCCTATAATTTGCCTCTTTCATGAGATTGAATCTAGACCGTTGATCAAAGTGACCTGTGGGATAAGAGATCTGAGTCATCAACATTATGGAAGGTGCTTGGACTATTATTCCCCTTTCCTTAAACCATTTTCCCATCAATATATTTAAATAAAATAACTATCATGCATTCCATAAAATTGCATGATCCATGTTACATATTCCATAAGGATATGTCAATAATTATCAAGCAAATAAATACTGCCAAATAAGATAAGGTCAATATTTCCCTTCTAAGATTTGACCACAATCAAAGTTAATGAATTTAATAAACTTGAACACAAAGCAACAAGAGAATCCAAGGGGTGCGGCGTACCACGCGTTTGTAGCACATGTGGGCCCCCACCTGCATGCTATATGGTGGGCCCATGTGCACTTTGGGCCCCCCATGAAATTTTATAAATAATTTTAAAATTAAACAATTTAATATATGAATTTTTCCAATCTTGTAAAATCAATAACTGTATTTTTGTAAGTCCAAAAAACATAAATAAAATATTGAGGGATTCATAAAAATTCAAATAATAAAACTAAAAATATTTCAATATTAAAATGAACACAATTAAATTAATATGATAGGAAAAGGATCCATATGGTTTTAGGAATTCAATCTGTAATAATGGGGTACTCCACCTTCAACTGTGGACTACAAACCACACTAGCTTTATCGAACCGACCCAGTATTTCCTATGACACATAGTCAAAGCAGTAGCTCATTAGCAGGTCACCAAAGTCAGGTCGATGAATCAAGGGGTCCCAATCCCAGTCTGTGGATTATAGGCCATCCCTTAGAGACGAATCAAGGTCACCATGACCTGATGCGACCACAGCTCTATGGTGCATAAGGGTATCTCTCGTACATGCATACGCTTCACCCAAATGTGGATATCTGGCTTTCCCAAACGATCTACCGATATGCATGCCGTGTGATAGAAGGTTTTGGCCCCCGTCTCAGTAAGTCTACCATCACACACAAAGGTCACACAGCCCCTTGGCTTACTTATCTAGGCATAAGCTCCAACCTCATCAAGGGCTAACCCAAAAGCCTAGGTACCTTGGGTTTTCCAACCGATTGGCCTAGATCGATAAACAGAGTCCGGCATAAGCAAACATCATTTGCTTAGTACGGTCATTGAGGGATCACACTACCACTAATTTATGTTTCACTATAATAAAAGTATTTCAATACACACTCATAAGGCCTTTAAAAGCTACATAAACCCAACATCTCCCACTTGGCCTATGAA